ATTTCCCCCCTTTTTTATATACAAACAAAATAACTTTTAATGTGGTAAGGGCGGTTCTTCCTGTTATCTAGCCCTCTTCGTTCTAGGCAAAAGATGGTAATTATCAGAGTTCAGAATTCCAGGTATGGGCTCTTTAAGTGAGGAAGCCCAATACAGAGGTAAACTATTAGCCGCTGCTAGAGGAAAATGATTGTGATGTTAATTCCCTTAAAGGTCTTTTTAAATGGAGAAAACTGAAATCTTTCCTGATAGAATTTATCGTTTCTTTAACTGTAGGAACTTTCCTTTGATATTTAACAGACGAACAAAAAATAATGCTTTCCTTGCACTCTTTGCAAGCAAGGATTTTTCTCTCGCTATTCCAAAGGTTTTGCTACTCGAGGTACTGAAATCCACCCTTCACAGATCGCAAAAGACTGTTACTTGTGGATTCATGGTTCCACACTTGGCAGTTCCTCTCATGGAACTGTTAGTCGTGGTCCAAGAGTACCACTCTTCACAATTCCTTGATAGCAGAGTTTTTCCTGCTTTCAAGCTGCTTTTCCAGCGAAATTTTTGCTAATTGATTCCAGACTTTTTTTCAAGTGGAGTTTCCTAGTACAGAGGTGGTTTAACTTGTACTCTTCCCTCCCTTTTTTCTCACCTCTCATACTCTTCCAAAGGCTTCACTTGCTTCCAAGTGACACTTCCCCTTTGGGCCGTGTCCAGTCTCCTTAGCTGGACCCGGTTGTAGTGCACAGACACTGATGAGAGGTCGGTTACCCCTTCACCATGCAGGATAACCTAATATTCCACAAACATATTTAATCTAATTATTCTCCATTGTCATCCATTGGTCTGGTTTAATTTCCCATTTTACGCTAAGGCACCACAGGTCTAACCAAGCTGGCAGAGTGCTCCCGTGGCATAGAATTGAATTATACTGTTTTTTCTGAGAATGGTTTGAAATGAAAATGTTAAACTTTTTTCTTTCATTACCAGTGGGTCCAGATTCTGGCCCCACTGATAATTTCCCTACAATAAAAGTGTTCCAATTCTATCAAATAACAACATTTGTTTGCCCAATGAAAGCTTTTTTTATACTTGGGACATACACCTGGAGGTTTACATGCTCTTTGTTCCTTTTCTTTAGCATTCAACGTTCTTTTCCCTTTTAAACAGTTTTCTCTTACGGCCTAGCTTCCCACATTCATGGCATTTGATGTTAACTGGGGGATTTACCGTCTGATCGTCCAGCTGCCCAATTTGAGATGTCAATATAGCATTTACCTGCTTCTACTATAAGATTCATCTGATCTCTCAACTGTATTTCAACTACTGTATCTCATTTGCCATGATTTTTCTCTACTGGTTTTTTTCTTTCGGCCTTTTACTTTTTACAATCTTTCCCTTTCAATTCTTAGAACCTTTGGCTGCCTTAAAGAGACAGGAGCTCTTTAGCTGTTTCTTTTTACTCTGGAGTCTTGTTTTACAAAACTTTACTTCCACTATTTCTTCACCAGCCTCAATCTACCTCAATTCTTTTCTTTAAGCAGAACTCTTAACTGCCAAAAAGGGAATCGGGGCGTCGGTCTCTCAAAAGCTACTTCCTGCTGGCATTGGGCGAAGGTATTAGGGGAAGGCAGTTAGAAGTTCTCTTCCCTAACTTGATAAACTCTTGCAACCTATTCCCAAACTTTTCTCTTTGCTGTTTTACCGAAGGCTTTTCTCACCCCTGAGGCTAAAAGCTTGTTTACTAAAGATTCTTATCTCCTAGGTCTAGCTTTTCTCTTTCCCTCTTAGAGGCTTTTTTCGGTTTTTCTCCAGCCACTTCACAGAAGAGGCTAAAGGATTTTCCCAGCTTTTTTCCCACAGAAGTAGTAGTTAGAATTTGGAAAGAGAAAACGTAGGAAAGAGGAAAAAGCAAATGAGAAAGGCCTGCTGTTGGCTGTCTTTCTTAGATATTTCTTTTCCCTCTAAGTATTTCTACTTCTATTCTCTTTTTCTTATTTTGCTAAAGCTTATTTCCCTCTCGGTCCGCGTTCACTGAATCCTGCTCACAGCACCATTTGTCAGTGGTGTTCACTATCCCGCTTCTGACACCACTTGTCAGGGCCCGGGACTGGCCAGGTCTCAGGCCCAGCTTAGGTAGGTTCTGGATGCAGACCACTAAGCTACCTTGCTCAGGAACAGTTTCTCGTAGGTGCTTGAGGGCTAGCTACTTTAGCTGGAGAGAGAGAGAGAGAGAGTATCTTAGAGAGAGTAAATGTCTTCTTCGAACAGATAGCTCTTAGTCTTTAGCAGAGCTTGGTAATCTTCAGCAGAGACGCCCTGCTGGCGTTCTGCAGGCAGGAGAGGAGACAGAGTCAGAGTAAGTGGATCCGTGACAGAATGCGCATGCTCCTGACTGCCTGCTCCTCCAGCCTAATAGAAGGCTGAGCTCGTGCCTCTCAGCACCACAGGTGTAGAGACTGCCAATTCACCAATGCTCTCATCTCCTGAGCTCACTCATGCTTGTTAGAACCAAATCTCTCTCCATGCCCTTTTCACCAAGGTGTTCCATTACAGGTATTTCCTATAACTCTCACTCCTCTTAGCCATAGGCTATACGGGCTGCTACAGACCAGATAACAGGACGGGTATCATTATGTCCACTTGCCCCATAGGAACTCAGGGCCAGAAGAGTGACGTTGGTTTAAGTCCTATAGAATGAGGATAAGGACCTCCTGTCTCAAGTCCTCAGCAGACATGTGCAGACTCTGTGGGCTGCAAAACAGCCAGATAACGAGTGACTATCTTCATTTTGTTGTAGGTGGCAATTCACACCGGCTGTTTGAGATGAGACAGGGCAACACAGGTGAAGTCTTGATTCCTCTAATTCTGTGGTGTTTTACTGAACATATATAGAATCCTGGGTGGTGCCTGTGGCTCAAAGGAATATGGCGCCAGCCCCATATGCCAGAGGTGGTGGGTTCAAACCCACCCCTGGCCAAAAAAAAAAAGAATCCTATTAATGGAGGATTTTAATGAGGGCCCATCCCTAGAAAGGCTACTGTTTGTATAGGTAAACATTATGATGAACCAAGGTGTCTATGGACAGAAAAATAAATTCAGAAATTTTGTGACATTTACAAACTTGGTATTGAACACTCTGGAGCAGTGAAAATTAATAAACTGAAACTGTACAGAATCGTGGTTTTCTTATTGAGGTCTTGGAATAACTGTTCTAAAATTGAAGTAAGTTCTTCAAACCTGAGAGAGGTTGTCTCTTTAACAATGCTGTCTTCCAAAGAATCTCCCTTGAAAAGCTCTCAGTGCAGAAGCCTTTGCTCAGCTCCAGTGATGTCATCTTTCTTTTAAACATGGATCAATCTTCTTTCGATCCAGGATATACTTAATCTGGAGGTATATGTAATTTTTAAATTACAGGGAAATAGAACAAATGAGTAATCTTCACTCATACACCGTGACTATTCCTTCTCTTTTTCGGTGAGCTGAAAAGAAGACAAGGCAAGGCTTTAATTGCTATTCATGACCTGGAATGCAAATATTTTTGTTGCCCATTACAGTCATATATGCGTGTTGTAGAAGGCACAAGAATATGGAATAAAATGAAATGGTTTACAAAAATGCTGAGACTCTAGAGCAGAGGTCCTCAAACTTTTTCAACAGGGAGCCAGTTCACTGTCCCTCAGACCATTGGAGGGCCGGTCTGCGGGCCCTGGGACAAGTCGGCTGCTAAGCAGGACAGGCAGCGGTGGCAAAAACACCCGGGGGGCCGGATAAATGTCCTAGGCGGGCCTCATGTGGCCCCGCGAGCCGTAGTTTGAGGGCACCTGCTCTAGAGACTTTCTATTGATGCAGATACCAAGCTTCTTCCAAGTTCTGTCCTGCTTATGTATTTGGGAAAATACCAATGGACTACATGGTGTAACAGTAAGGCAAGAAATGAAGGTTTTTCTTCTTATTCTTTGATGGAGGCAATAATGACATTCAGGGAACTATGTAAAAATGTACCGAGTTGTCACACCTTATGGCCAGCATATTTGGTGACTAAAATTAAAATGACTATCAGAACTGCCGTGAGAGCACCTCTGACGTTTCCTCTTGAGCTTTGTCCTCCGCTGAGTCTGTCTGCTGCCTTAACCATAAAATTCTATCAGAATCCCTGGTTTTGCATGTGAGAGCCTGACTGGGATCATTATATATGGTTCCCCAACTTCATTACTCGTGTGTCATAACATATGAAGGTGATCTTCTGTCTTTTAAACACAGTAATAGAATTTGTTAACTAAGTCAACTCACATTACAACATAAAAGCTAAGAACTTTTTATTTACATACTTAATTAAAATAAACTTACAGGGTCTAATAATCAATTTCCAGTTCACCCTTACAAAAAAAAACACTTGGAACATTTTACTTTCTCCTCCACTACTCCTATTTTGAATGATAAGACATCGTATCATTCTCGGCTGAGCATTTTTTTCAGACATCAAGATCCTCTTTTTGCTCAAAACTAAGTTTTCATCAAGTCTTCATGGGTAAGTTTTATGGAAGCTTTTCATCCTCCCTACCCAATCTACAGCAGTGGTTCCCAAATTTGAGGAGGCATCAGAATAACCTGAAAGGTTCATTAAAACACAGATTGCCGGGCCCCACTCTTAGAGTTGTTTATTCTGCA